ATCAAATCGATACATGAACAATTTGATAATTATTATAAATACAAAAACAGAATTTTTTTTGTTATCGTATAAGCTTGTATGAATAACATAGTTTATCAGTATTTTTAAAGATAAAAATAAAATACAAAAAAAAAAAGAAAAAAACAATAGTAGAAAAAAAGAAAGCAATATGCTAATCACTAATGCGCACATCACTGCAAACATTTCTGAATAAATCATCAAGAACGATCTTAAAATACATATATAATTGTACAATTTTACACATCAAACTAAGAATTCTTTGAAATAATAATAAACAAAAAGAAAAAAAAAATAAAAAACAAATACACAGAATAAGAAAACAATAGACAAAATTTCTATTAATTAAACTTCAATACGACGAGCATGTTGTTGTAAACGTTCATTTGCAATTTCTTTCAATGTTATTGTTTTCTCATGATCAATATAAACATATGGTTCGGTTGTTGTTGATGATAATTTAGATATTGAATTAGTCGTTGGTGATGAATTATTTCGATTTATTGTATTAGTTTGATTTAAATTAGATTGTTGATGATGATTAAAAAAAGATAAAATACCACGTTTGTATGATTGTTGAACCGAAGATTCTTTTGTTGATTCAATATGAGGTTCGTCCGTAGCAATAGATATTTGTGATTCTATTGGAATATCTTAGAAATAGAAATCATTTCAAAATATAATAAAATTATAATTTCTTTTTTTTTCTCACATACCACCATCATCCATTGAAATTGGTATTGATTCTGCTTTTAATTCAATATAATTAAGTTCAGGAGAAAATTCTCGTTCAATAGGTTGTTTAAGTCTTGCAATAAATTGTCCTTCTTCTTGATTATCATTATTATTTTCTCTATGACAAGGAATTGTATCAAAAGGTATATAATTTTCTGATAAATTTGGTTCAGAATTTCTATAAGAAAATGTAGCTCCTGAAGTTAATGATATTGATGTAGAAGATGATGATGTTGATGATGAAAAAATAATTGATGATGGTACTCGACGTGTTACACCTTGATCTGATTGTGTTCGTCGTCGTCGATGATGAGGATGATGATATGATGTTGATGATACATTTGTTAAAGTAGATGAAGACGATATAATTGTTCCTCGTCGTTGTTGTTCTAATAATTGTTTTGATCGAGTTGTTATACGTTGATCTAAACAATCAACAAGACGACGTGCTTGTTTACAACGAAATGCATAACGTGCTTGACCAAGTGGTGCACGACGACCACATTCAAGAATAAATATTGAACCATCTAAACCATAACGTTTGATTGTTTCTAATGGAATATGTAATGATTGTCGATGTTTTTGTTTTATACATAAACTATCATTTGATACATGAATTTTTGCTGATGCATGTTTTCGACCATAAGAATTAATATTATCAACTTTAAATATATCATCACTTGTTGATATGGATGTATCAGTAAGATCAATTGAAAGATGATTTGATGACATAGTATTACCCATATCTGCAAAATATAGAAAATAAAATGAACATTTCAAATATATACATATATATATATTAAATCAAATTCGAGATAAAAATATTTATTGAATATAATTGTTAAGAAAAGAACTGATATTTGAAATTACAGTAAAACCTCCCTATAGTGGACACCTATGGGCCTTTTTAAAAGTGTCCACTATAGGGAGGTTTGGTCTTTTCAAAAAGCGAAGTTTTTCGAAGAAGCGGTCGCATTTTCTAAGGATTTGAAGGGTGTTAGTGAATAAGATAACTACCCAGTGCTCATTGTTACTTCTCTCCTCATGCACTTTTGTTCTTGAAATACAAAAAAAATCAATAATTGTTAGAATACAGGAAGGCTCTTTAGTTGACACTAAATGAGACTTCTCAAAAATGTCTAGTATCGGATGGTGTCCACTATGCAGAGGTTCAGTTCCAGGAAAAACCTCTCCATCGGACCGCGGAGTGTCCACTATAGAGAGGTGTCCATTATAGGAGATTTTACTGTATATGAATGTTCATAATCAAATGATTGATCTTTTAATAATTGTGAAATTGAATTGTATTCTATGAAAAAAATTCAATTAATTTACTCATATTAACTTGTTTCGATTCAATATATTATGATTGACTTCAAATAGTACATTTTAATTTTCGTATATTTATACTAAAGACACATGAGTTTTCAAAACGAAATTACTATAAAGAAATACTATTTCTTTTTTATTTAGTTGTAACGGAAAAATCTTTCTCTTTTTTTAATAATAATCGAACTTCTTAGTTTTTTTATGATTCGTACTGATAATGTTTAATAAGAATAACTTATATTTCATGAATTATCGGGTGATCAATTACCGATGTCTATACTTTGTACATTTCATATTCTAATTACTAAATACGTTTTATTTAAAAAAAAAAAAAATTAAATATGCTACGAGATACATCGTGAAAAGCTCTAAAATCTCTACAGTGAAGTTTGTTTTGAAAAAAAAACCAAAGCTCTCTGTGATCAATTTTCGACGATGCGAAAAGTAGGTGTATAGATAGAAAACGAAATAAATCTATATTCTGTATTGTATACTTAATAGGTTTCGTTATTCTATGATTATATTTGATAGTTAAACTAATGAATAGTTAATGATAGATATGTAGAGTTTATTAAGTACAAAAACGAATCTATAAATATTATAAAAATAGAAATTTGGCTTTTTCTTTTTTTTTTGTTCTAGTTGATCTACTTCTATAAAAAGCTTAAATAAATAATGAGAATAAATTGGTCTTTTCAATACAATATCTATTTTCAGAAATGTCATATTAATGTTTATAAATCGATTCATGTTGATGACAATATAATTTGACTAAGATTTTTTTTTTTTTTCTAATATCATTTTTCACTTGATGACATGTATATACATTATGTGATGATGAAGAGTGTAGATTTGAATAGAAAATAATACATAACTATATTTAATAGAGTAAATAAGATAATCTTCAACAACATCATTGTTTTATAAAGTTTTGAGAAATATCTAGAAATTCTAATACTTAACTTTTTTTTCCTCTTTGAATATTCATTAAGGAATCTATATCAACTATTAGGATATTTCTGTTGAGTTTAACAATTAAAATTTAGAACAAAAAAAAAAAGTTATTTTAATGTCAATCTATATTTCATTATAAATAGAGACTCAATATGAATTGCAGCACATACTATGATTATGTTATAAATCAAAGAAAAACTTGAAATCATTGATTTATTTAATTATATATTATAATAAATCATTACCTTTATAATTAAAAAATTGATTTTTTATATATAATATACTTTTAAGTTTGATATCAATTGAATATTGTTATAAATTTAATATTACACTGAAAATAAAAATTGAAGACTAAATGAATATAAATATTGCTAATGAATGTCAATATTTTCTATTACAATAAATAATTCATAAAGGTTGTCAATGTCTCAATCAATAGACCATAACAATCGAGGTTTTTCTTCTTTCTTCTATACTCATTTTTTATCAATCTAAAAAAAAAGAAAAAGAAAACTAATGAAAATAATTACACGCTTAATCATCAGACAATTTTTGATTGCATAAGGTATAATCATTCTTGAGTTTTTTTTTTTTTCTTCTGCTTTTTCTCTGTGTTATTATAACTGATAGATGGGTCTAGACCAATGTGTTATGACTCATTGTATATTAGGGTTTATCGACACATTAATGCATTTTGGAAACTATGCATTTGTTATATTAAATAAATTACGGATGAAGAAGATATAAAGCGAATTCTAATCTTCAAAGAAACAAAAATTCAAATCGTTTTCTTTTCATCGATTGATTTTTGTTTTACTAATTGAAAATATCAAGGAAAATAAATTACAAGGCTTTGTTATTTTTTGTTGCTGCTATTATCTGACAAATTCGAGGGAACAAATGTCATAGAAAGATTGTTTTGGCCTTCTCTTACAATCTGTAAGATGTAGGGCGGGATATTAAAAAGATCATCCTGACAGGCAAAAAAAGCCCTCCTGTGTCCTGCCTGTAGGATAATCTTATTATTAGATTTTTGATAAGGAAAAAAAACTCGTATGAAAATTAGGGATAATGTCAAATGTTATAGAAGTACTATTTATATAAAAATGATTTATAAATATCACGTTAATAAACCTTATCACACGTTTTCCAAAAGAAAAGAAAATTAACATCTATAATAAATCGAACAAAAGAATAAAAGAACAAAGACATAAGGTTACAGAATGCATAATGTAATCAATATAGATCAATAATAATGATAAAGGATAAATTTTCTTTTTATTACTTGTTCTTGAATTTCTCATATGAACGAATATATCATTATATTATTAATTTGAATTGATGATAAATCTATTCGTCTTTGAGTAAATGTCAATCAAACTGAGTTAAAAAAAGAAAACCTTTCTACCATAGTACTAGTCGTTAATATAGTATATATTATTCTGACTGCTATTGATAATATTGTAAAATATCATGAGTTTCATTACTAGATTAGAACTCTATTGAATGATATCTCAATTAAGTGACTTGGATGTCCAGTAGGACACAAAATATGATCTTGCCATTCTTTCATACTGTGATATTCTTCGATTCGGAGTACATTAATTATGTCAAATATAAAAAGAGAATATTTAGAAGAATTATTTTTGCAATAAAAAAATGTCCTATTCATTTAATAATTTCGTACGTTTTTAGTATATAATCACAATGAGAAAGCGAAATTCGATATTACATAGAATGTATAGTAATAAATCTAAACTATAAAATGAGATGTAATCTCTGAATGCAGAATGATAAAACGAAAAAAAAAATCAAGAAAAACTATAGATAAATTATTATTTTTAAAATCATTTTACTGATTTATAGGCTTATAAAGCTTAGAAACTTTGATTTTAAATAGGCTGTAATTTTACTTTTAAAAGACTCACATTTGATAACTGATTGTTCGTTTTTTTTTTACAAAAATGCATTCTATTACTACCATTGTATTGATTCTTATTGTGTATTTTCTTGAAATAACTCATAGTATTGATTTTCAATCTAATCGACAGCTTGGAGCTATGGTATTCTATTTATCTGGTCAAAATCCATATGATTTTAACAATTATGGTTGTTGGTAAAATACTTTTTAGTATTTTGTTTTTTTTTTATTTTAAATAAATGTAAACTTAACAAAAGTTTAATAGGAATCATTTTGAATTTTATCAAATGATTGAATTTATATAAAAATTATTTTTCTATTCATAGGTGTAGTAACAAAGATAAACCAATTCATACTCCATTAGACGAACTTGATCAATGTTGTCAAACATATCAAACATGCAATATTTTTAAAAAAACTGATTCTATTCCTTATCCACATAAAACTTCATTTGAAGATGGAACAATTGAATGTTTAAATAATAAAAATACAAAAGCACATCATCAATGTCAATGTGATCTTGAACTTGCTCAATGTCTTTATAAACATCAAAGCGTATATACAACGAATTTATTATATATATCGGATAATAAATGTAATCCAGGCAGTAAGTTATAATATATATCAAATATACATTCCATATTGAAAGATTATTTGAACGTGTGAATATATTTTCTTTATATTTGATAGAAAAAAAAAGATCTTTAAGACTTGTTGAAAATAATCTTTAATTTATTTTGTATTATATTATAGTTATACTTAATTTTGATGATTTATTGACAAATACTACTTCAAAGAATATTCCAGAAAATTATCATAATTTCACATTTACTGGTGGACTTTATACAGCTGGTAAAGATACAACTAATCCAACACGTCCTAGTGGTTATGCTACGGCTATGATTAGTTCACCTAATGTATTATTTAGTCAAAATCAAATGATAATGAAACATATTGATGGACAACCATTTTCTGTTGTTTCATTTTCTGCAGCATCTGCTTTTGTTCCAAATTTGAAATTGACTTTAATTGGTACACGACAATATTCACCAATAGTTTTCAATGAAACTGTTTCACTTCAAATTGATACTCGTCAAATTATTGAACTTAATTGGTTTGATATTGATACATTAACATTCATTGGTACAGGTGGTACAAACTATCCAACTTATACAGGAAACTGTGGTAATTGTCATTTTGCTATTGATGATCTTCGACTTCGTCTATAAATCAATTTTAATAAAATTGAAATAAAAATAAAATTTTGAATAATCGAAAGAAAAGATCCATATATATATAATTACTCAATAAATATTACAAAAGATTTGTATGGACTTTAGATACATTATGTATTTACGAGGACTAAATTTTTATTTGATGTTTAGTCATGAATTGAATTTATCAAGAAGTCTTGAGAAGATTAAAAAAATTCTAAAAATGTTTATGTCTACGAATTTCTATAGTTGAATGAGGACCAACTTACGGAACTTTTGATCCAATTTTAGATACTTACCCAAAAAGCATATAATGAAATATCGACTTGAAAACTAGTTCATAATTAGGTATAATCACTTTTAAGTCGGAAAAGAATTTTTCTTTGTCAAGATCTATAGTTTCTAATAAATAGTCACTTGGTACCGACATGTCCTAAATATCGAGTTCACTTAACAATTCAATATTCTTGACAATTGAATTTTCTTTTCGGTAGAAATTTTTTAGAAGGTTTTCAGAATCATTTGAATTATCTATGGATAAAACTACAGATCAAAATTCTATTATTTGATTGTTTAATAAGTGTCTAAAATCGTATCGAAAAATCAATATAATAATATTACCTTGAACTTACTCGATATTTCAATTAAGATCAAGAAATCATGTGCAAAAAATGAGTATGGAATTTTTTATTGAATCTAGATGATAGTAAAACTAATAGTTGTATTAAATGTTCCAATATCTTGTATATACTTCCTCTCAATTTTAATTATTTATCAATCAATGAAGTCGGAAAAAAAAATTCCAAAATATAGCCATAATTTAACATTTTTTTTAGCAGATATTTTATCGTTGCTTACAAATAGCATGTACGTCTTCTAACTAATGCTGAACTTTTTTTTAAGTATTAACGACCATTTTTTGAATAACTTTTCAAGGATACAAGCTATAGAAGTCGGACTTTCACCGTTAGAAAGATTAAGGTGGGGGACGTCAATCTGTATAAAATTCATCAGATTCAAAGAACTTTTGTATAGTTATTTGCTGTCTATTTTCATGAATTTTCGTGACAAGTTAACTTCATATTAGACTAAAATGTAGCCCAAATCGTCCTATATTTTTGCTAGAGTTTTCAAATCTTTGCATTTTACTCTTGAGTTCTTTTTCCTTATGCTTTGATGTTAAAACATGAAAATTTTAGTACGAATAGAGGACAATTTGGGCTACATTTTGGTCTAATTTGATGTTAACTTGTCACGAAAATTCATGAAAATAGACAGCAAATAAAATATCTGACTGCAAACAATTATACAAAAGTTCTTTGAATCTAATGAATTTTATACAAATCGACGTCCCACACATTGCTCTTTCTAACGGTGAAACTCTGACTTCTATAGCTTGTATTCTTGAAAAGTTATTTAAAAAATAGTCGTTAGTACTTTAAAAAAAAATTCGACATTAATTGCTCTACGTCTACAATATAATCATCTAATGTTTTCAAGAATTAACAGGACATGACAATCAAACATGTTGATTGACATTGATTTGCAGTCATGTCATGATCAATAGAAATTACTTGGCATTTCAATTTAATATTAATTTCTATTGTTTTTCAAGGATTTAAATCAATATATTTTTTTTAATGAAATTATTCTTCTTCAATTTGAGACTAACTCGTTGATCGAACTTCATCTATAAAAAAAACCATGATACAATAATAGAGCATATCTACCATATGAATAATACAGATTTGTCAAAATTATAGACCTCCGTTTGTCATTGATTTTTCTCTATGAAAACGAATAGCTGGATCAAATGTAAACAATGATTTCGATAGCTCTCGAAGTTCTCTATAGATTGCAGTATAATGGAAACTTTCAAAGATGACTTCACCATGTAATTTTTTGAAAATGCGTAAGACCCCATTTTTTGACTTTTAAAAAGATTTGTCAGACATCATTTCGAATGCAACCATCTGATAGAGATGAAAATTTTGAACAAAATGAGTGGTCGCACGACTCTCCACGGCTTTTCAGTGAGAAGTTATAAGTATAACAAAAGCCGGAAAAAACGTGTTTTCAACAGATTTTTGATGATTTTTCGGATTTTTTTCGACTTTTGTTATACTTATAACGTCTCACTGAAAAGTCGTGGAGAGCCATGCGACCACTCATTTTGCTCAAAATTTTCAGCTCTATCAGATGGTTGCATTCGAAACGATGCCTGACAAATCTTTTTAAAAGTCAAAAATGGGGTCTTACACATTTTCAAAAAATTACATGGTGAAGTCATCTTTGAAAGTTTCCAATAGACTGCAACCGATAGAGAACTTTGAGAGCTATCGAAATCACTGTTTACATTTGATCCACCTATTCGTTTTCATAGAGAAAAATCAATGACAAAGGGGGGTGTATAATTTTGACAAACCCTGTATCACGACTATTATTTTATCAGTAATAATCTTAGTTTATGTCTATAAATCATATACTAAAAATACTTACAAGGAAAAATTTTAGTAAAATATGGCAGATGTTATTTCTCAAAGAGTTTTGATGTTTAAATAACAAAAAAAGAACATCAAACAAGGTAGAATATGTATAAAATGTATAATAAAATGATGACAATGAAAATTACAACTATTTCATTAATATTTTTATAAATCTTCAGAAAAAAACATTATTCTCAAGAATCTGAATGAAAATGTCTATGATACATTTTTATTCTTTTATGATAATGTACAGCAAGTGCTAATAAATAGATAGCTACTATCTGAAAATTCATTTGAGAAAATTTTTACATCATATTTAATTACATTCACTCAATAAGAAAAAAAAAAGGCTTTCACTCCAAATGAAACAAGTAGATATATATATATTATTGTTTAATAGTTTCAGTAAACTATAAATTAGATTCATTTCATGTATGTAATACTTCATCTCTAGGTTCATAAAAAATTCCCAATTGACCAATATTTAATTTTCTAATGACATTATTATTTGAATAAATACATAGATCAATTTTTTTTGCATTCGACTATGAAAGGATTCAATTTCAATAATGTAAATGATCTTCTATTTTTCCTAAATAAATAACTAACATATATATATCTTCTATAATCACATATTCTCCTATTGATTTTAATGATTGGATATTGACCAAAATAAAAAATGATTACAAGAAAAAAAAACTATTAGTTTATTGATATTTTGAATTCAATGTATATATTACAAGGAACTAAAGAAAAAATTGTTTTCTATTTAGATTAAATTATGATAGATAATATATGTTACGACAACAGATAGATAATATATTAGCACTAGTTTATTTTTGTATACTACACATTATTTTTTATTTTCTTAGATACGAAAAAAGAAACTAATTTACATAAAAAAAATGCAAATATATTTTCATAGTAATATAAAAAGAAATAAATTATTAAAATTTTCATTTTTAAATATCGATTAAATTAGTAATGAAATTTGCCAATATTGTTTGTAAATAATTAATCAAAAATCATAGAAAATAGTTTATCATTATGCATCAATAGATCTTAATATATTTTTCTATCTTCGAGCTAGATAATAATAATCTATTATTGATAACAAGAACATCGAATTGAAAATAACTATGGTGAAATATAATCTAAAAATTTATTTATGAAATCAATGAGTTATCATTCTTCGAAGATTTTTTTTTTTTTTGATGACAGTTAACGTCTATTATTCAAACATTTAATGATAGATGACAAGATAGAATCTTATATTTTGTTGATTGTTATCTGTTTTTTAAGTATATAAAGGGCGCAAAAGAAAAAATATTATTTCAAATGTATACCATGAAATACTATATTATAATTTCCTTTCAAACCGAATTACAGATCAAGAAAATCAGCTATACATGGGGAAAAAAAAGTACATAGATAACAATTCATCTTTTTAGACTGAAATTTGATTTGAATTAATTGAAATAGTTTACTATATTAAATTGAAGTCAACTTTAATAGATATCAACAGTGGCCTAGCCAGGAATTTTCCAAGGAGGGTGCCCGACACATTATGGGAGGTGCACACCAGCAGCAAAATAAATTTTTGTTTCTCAAAAAGATTTTTAGCTCGTACCCCCCTCCAGATATTTTTTGGCCAAGGGGTGTGCCCGGGCACCCTTTGCACACCCCCTGGCTATGGCCCTGGATATCAATCAATGGTAGTGAATACTGTTAACTGCTTAATTAAAAAACTTTTACTCTATTTCAAATACTTTTTTGAATGAAAAATAATAGTGAAGAACATATTGAGACAATCATATTACAAAAAAAATGATCTAAACGATACAAATTTTTGAAGCTTTACTATTTATTTTTATTATAGTTTTAGTAAAATAAAAATTTTCAACAACAATGATAAGATTTTCTTGAATGTTCACTTTAAATTTCTATTATCTTTAAAGATATATTATTAACTATCACATGAATTGATTACAAAAAGAAAAACATTTATCATATAAATTCAATGACATATTTTGACATCAAGAGCACATAGCGCTTCATGGTCGATTGGTAAATTCGACATAATTTATAATATACAAACCTCTTTTCAACCACGTGACTATTAAATAAAACAATAAATATATTTGAATATATTTTCATTAAAATAGATTTTTATTATTTAAAATATTTCTTTAGTAATTTACAAAAACATAAAAAAAATTCTTCTGCATTAATAAATCCATATTCTACCTTATTTAATCCATATTTTGTTATGTACTATAAAAAGAAACGACAAGGTCGCGGTTTGATTATTTAAGATAGATATATAAAATCGTTGTATTTTATTTTATACATTTCATTCGTTCGCTGTTTCATCTAGCAACCAATCGAACATATTTATATCAATAATAATATTCAACTAAAAACAAGAAAGAAAAAGCGCCTATATTTATCTTTCATTTATTTGACGCATCGAATTATCAAGGTGTTCTATTTCTATTTATTCTATTTGTGTATCTTTCCGACTATATC